AATTTGTGGATCATCGCGACTCAATGGATGCAGAAAGCCATGCAGTCATCCTGTTTATGTTGATGACCTTACAGGGCATCTTGTTCAGGATTGTGTGCGAAACGACATCGGGGAGAACTAAGGCACCTGGAGCTTGAGTCGACAGTCCAGTGTATTGACAGGACTCCAATCTCAGGTTGTGCTTGGTCATGACTTCAAGTTGAGCCACCAGCTGGCGCATGCGGGTGCCAGGCACACCTGACGACTCTCAATCTGACTTGAGATCGAAGATCATTGGCGTGGCGCATACCTCCCTGATCTAAGAATCATGCGGCCCGCATAGCTTTTTACGAGTCCAACCGTAAGAACTAAAAACGCACTGTTTTTTTCTGCCGTGTTTCTAGTTGTCTCCGGCTATGCGGGATTGGGTCGCTTGGTATGCGATGTCTCTGTTTGATTGTCTTTACCCATACCCTAGCACCACCCACCCACACGCTCAGACGGCGTCATGTGGCGTGAGGACATCCCGGATGGGCCTCCGGACTTCGTGTCACCTTTGGGGAGCGAAGCGGGAGGAGTCGGAGTTGCAACCTGAGCGAACAACAAGGGGACAAGGGACCTCGAACGATGGGTGGGTTCTTTGCGAAGTACTTTGGACGACTTTTGAAACACTTAAACGGTGTTTGTTGATGTGAGCTTTCTTTTGGTCATGAAACTATATATATATATGTATATTATCATGTCCACTTGCAAAGTCTATGATTGATCTTGAGATTTGAGGTTGGTCCAATGAGCGCACCAGAGGCTGAATCTTCCCAGGGTGGCAGTCTCACTTTGACCGGACCATCCAGGTGAGCATTCGGAATTGATTTCACATGGATGGAACACCAATTTTCAGAACAAAGTTGAACGGCCCAGTCCAAGTGCTGTGCAAAAAAAACAAAAGATATCAAAACACAACAAGCAGAATGAGCGGTGTAAACTGTTAAACGAGACTGTGCGCCTCTTGGGAGCAAAAACTGCCTGGTTGATGTTGGCAGGCTGTCTACGTTTGCCATGGCTAGACTTCCCCTCCAACTGGAGGCGGTTTGTGGGCTTGTCTGTGGTCGGTGGTATTTCAGATTGAAACCAGTCACAAGGGAGGAAGCAGCTCGGGAGTCGAGAACACTCATTGCGAAAGGCTCTCGGCATGAGGCTCTTGGCAATTTTTGCAGTTGGTTTATCAGAAGGATGAAGGATGTGTTTTGGATTTGCTTTCACGTCATGTGGCTTGGCGGCTTTTGGCTTGGTGTTTCGATAGCTTTGCTGGCTTGGTTGGAATCGAAATGCCAAATGACATTCTCCCTTCTGGCCATAGCGCTATTATGTTCTTTTTCTACTAGGTTGGAGGCCATCACCAGTAGGTGGGAGGCCATCGCTATTAGATATGTTCTTTTTCTACTAGGTTGGAGGCCATCGCCAGTAGGTTGGAGGCCATCGCTAGGTAGGGTGGAGGCCATCGCTATCAACGTCCACAGCACAAGGTTGGAACCAAAGGCACTTGCAGCTGGTAGCCGCTAGCCGCTGCGTAAACACCCGCACGTCCGCAGACAACGTTGGGAGAACAAATCCCTAAAGGAAACAAACCATCCCTCACCCAACTTGGAGAAGCTTGAAGTCTCAAGATACCATCGATACCATCAGGCTAGCAGCTCCGCAGGGCCGGCCGGAGCCTGAGACCTTGGTCGCTTCCCTTTTTTCGAGTTTTTCTGGTTGCTTTCAATGGTCTTTTGGACCAGACATGACCATGCAGACTGCTGAGGTCTCACGCCCCAGAGCAGACTTCACCATTGAGTATAAGCCGAACTGGGGAAGCTACTTGGTGACCTGCATCGACGGAGAGTTGTCAACCAACTATCTGGTGCGAGACAGGCAGGCTTTCGCACAACACAGGAGGTGTGCTTGTATGTTCTTGTTGCTTGAAGCCGAAGCCCACCATTTGATTGGGTGGGTTGACAAACTCTGTGCATCGGGGGGACAAACCTTGAGCGGCCTATTTACTTATTGTTTCTAATAGCTTCTTGTTACTACTAGTAAGGCACTTGTTACTAGAAGCGATGCACTTGTTCCTAGTAGCTTGTTGTTTATACGCATGGGAAGGTTTGACAAAGACATCCCGTTGCTGAAAGACCGCAGCTTTGTCCCCGACAAAGAGCAGTTTCCCTTGGAGATTTGGCGACAGGCCATTCGTATGGCTGGTGAGAATGGACAGTTTCAGCGTAAAGTGTTTGCTCGCGTTGGTCTTGTTGAGATCTCCCTCAGATAGTGATTTGTCAACTCCGCAGCACTTCAGGCAGAGAGGCAGGACCCCCAGAGCAACCTGAAAGAGTTTGCTCTCACCAATAGCCCTTGTTGCTTTAGACTGAATGCACTGTGCACCTGACTTGCAGGGAGGAGCAAGAGTCCGAGGTACGGCTGATACCTTGAAATGTGGATTTTTGTGCTCTAGCATACTTATGGTCGAAACAAGGGCATTACTACTAGTAGCAAGGGCATCACTACTAGTAGCAAGGGCATTACTACTAGTAACAAGAAGCAACTAGTAACAAAGGTACATACATACATATATATATATAGAACATAACTATTATTTACTGTTTGCTGTGTGTTGGCCGTTTGCAGTTGTCAGGTAGGTCAGCGGAATTTGTGCGTGCTCTTTTGCAAGGGCTGGTATCCAACGAAGGTACTTCTTCCATGTTTTTGTGGGAGTGCAAACATTTTTGGTGTGTCCATCCACAGGTCATCCACTGTGCATTCGTGGCAGGTTTATCTTCAAGGTTTGCTGCCTCACTTGCTTTGTGCTGGAGCCTTAGAGCGCACATCGTGTTCCAAAAGTTAATAGCAAACTTCTGAGCACCCCAATGTTGGGTATTAGAATCCCAACCATCCCTTTGTACAGACAGAGCAGAAAGACTGTCACTGTATCATTCACCGAGATTTCTTGGGCAAACTCACGGATTTCATGCCTTTTCAAATCCTGACTACCTCGAAAGGGTCGAAAGCAAAACGAAAGGCCTCCGGGCCGGCACGATAGTCCTTGCTTGCTTTCCCTCCTGTCCTGGGGGTGTTTGGAGTTGAATTCAAGCTCTACCCTTTCGAACTTGGAACAGCGCGACATTAACTCAGATTGCTGCCATTGCTGTCGGCATCCGCGTGAGAGACTTAGCTTCTTTCCTTTTTGGCAACTTGGGTCTGGCACAACTTGACAGTTTGAGGTGAGAAACTGGGGCATCGTGATTGCGGGAGTCTGCATTGCGACTTTTCTTGCCATGCACTTAAGGATCCAGACCTGCGCACAAGTCACATGCCTTTTCTTTGCATCCACCGAGTTCAGCCGTTTGACCAGCTTAAAGTGTGTCCTCATACCTAGGTCTCGGTTTGGCTTCTGCAAGGCCGTGGTGGCCCAGTCTGAAAGAATGAGTGCTTTGATAGATTTTGGCCGAGTTGTAGGTCGTTGTTGGAACACAAGGGTTACTGGGCGGCTAGCACAAGTCCATGTAAGTCGTTTTGGGCTGGGAAACTAGTGTGACAACGACAGATTGCTGCTGCGCACGCGAGCAACCATATTTCTCCACTGCTGCTGGGCCTGGACCTAAGTCTTGTGACTACAGACGCAATTCTTGTCACAGATTGTCAAGAGTTGACAGTTCAGAGTATGTACAAACTCGATTCTTGCAAGTTATATGGTTATATACGTTTGCCGAACCAGTTTGGGCGCAGCTTCTGTGTCAGATCACAGGTCTTGGGAGCTTTGGGTCACAAGCTCAGTCAGATAGGAGTGATAATAAAGTTTCCCTAATAATCTATGAACCAAATCATTAGTGCGAGCGCTTCTTCAAGGAAGTTCCCCTCTGCCCTCAGGCAGGGGGAAGCTTCCTTGACAAAGCGTGAGCTATTCTGCTTCCTACCTAGAAGCTAACTGGTAGCTAGGAGCGCTGTCCCTTCCTTAATTAAGTAGGCGCCTACTTAATTAAGTAGGAGCGGGCTAAAAAGAAGAGACACTTTGACAGGAGGCATTGATCGAAATATCGTCAATAGCTTGATGGATTCTTGTAGATTGATATGCCCAAGGCATTGCAGGCCTGGGGGGAGCATCATTGTGGCCTCCGTTATGATGTGCAGCGGTGGGTCACCCAAAGGAAGTTATTTTTTGTTTTCTTGACTAGGTTTTGTGATATTCTTTCACGATTTCGGAGTCTTTTCATTCACCAGGTCACGTCGCATTACCTTTGGGGTAGTGGTGCTCCTGCAGGCTTCGTTGAAAGGGAGTACTTTCCCAATAGGAAGAGGGATTCTGAGCATTGCGCACTCCCGCAAACCGGAGCGTCCCGGTGCAGGGCATGCTCTTTGCCACTCTGTCCCAGTGGATTGGAATGCTGGTGAAGCTCTTGGTGACAGGACGATACGATACGGTACGCATGAAGCAGGACTCGTTCTCTGAGGTTTGCTTCGGCGTTGTGCTGCTGGTATGCCTCAGGCGGGCTGCAAGTGCTCCGATGCTTAAGTGCTCCGCAGAGGAGCTCCTGATGCTTTGAGTGTTTTTCGCAGCTTGTTGCAGTGGCCAGATCATGCTGCACATAGCGCTGGACATATGACATTCTGAAAGCTTGGGCTCACAGAAAGTAGGTTGTGAGAAAAGCCTTTTGGCACAGGAGGCTACCTTTTGGCCACTCTTTTTGGGAAAGAAGGTTCCAGACATCCAAGCTGTGGAGATCAGTGGAGATCGATGAGACGATTGCTTCTCACCTGCTTCGCGCTGCCGGCGTTGCCTTTCGTGCAGCTTTCAACCTCGTGTTTGGGTCGTCGGTTTGCCCAGAGAAGATGGGCACTCTCAGTAGACTTGGAGAGATCGGAGATGTGGGATATTCATCTGGACAAGCCTGGACATATACCTCAAAAGGTTCTTGACCAGGCAGCAGAGGCCATAAGGACGCCCTGCCCTTGTCTTGGACAACCTCACATACTCCCTTTCTGAGCTGTTCATGGCCTTGAAGGCCCAAATCACCTTGATAGTTCCCGTGCAGGACTGGCGGCTTTGCCTTGGTTCGTGGGCCTTGCTTCAGCGACGCCGGGCTCGCGCGGGCACAAGCGCTCGCGGAGGAGGAGTTGTCGAAAGTGAAAAGTCAAGCTGAGCAGCTGGGACTTGCATCGCTGGCTCCGTGGGCGCGTCCCAAGCCCAGTCTGGGTGCTGGAAACCTCTTCCGCTTTCAGGAAAACTTCACCCCTCCAAAACCATGTGTTGTAGGTCAATGTTTGTGGAGACAAAAAAGCCTCATTTGGGTTCATTTGCCTTTGGATGCAGGAAGGGGCTTCCTTCTCTAGTGGCCGCCTGGACATGCCCTTGAAGTCTGGGACTGGAGCTTTGGCCTCGAGAGAGGATCTTAAAGAGCTTTGTGAAAAGCTGTGTCTTGGAAGCAAAACATTGTGGGGACATGACCACATGCTCAGCAGACACCTTTTGCTCCTTTCTATCTCACGCATTGGCTATTGAGACTCTCAGGATGTGGGTCCAAGGTTCAGAGCTCCATGTGTGCACAGCGGCCGTGGAGCTTTCTGGAACTTTCCCAATTCTGGGCCGGAGCATTGGCACCGTGATGGGCAGTTGCCCTTGCTGCTTGACGCTGTGATTTCAGAGATGGGAGGAATGGGTGCATCTCAAGATGGACGGACGACGGACGGAGCACTGGGTGAGCTTGTATATTTTTTGATGCAAAGCTAGAGCATCCTCAAGTCTTTGAGACAGACCCAGGCTGACTGCTGTGACTGTGGCCAAAGGCTACCCCAAGAATGCAGGCTTTCTACGACTTCAGCATCTTGACCGAGAGTTCAACTGGATTCACTGATTATATGGTGGGGTGAATAGTCATGAAATAGTGGTTGCAAGAGATGAAGGTTTTCATTTCCTTTTTTTTTCAGCTTTCAGTTTTCATGTTTGGAAGGCCATTTACTCACCACGGGGCCATCGATGAGGATGCTGACTCCCACCGGGAGCCGAAGGTGCGAGCTGAGGTCGACACCGTTCACCGGCAGTCGAGGTCGACTTCTGGAGGTCACCCGTTCTGGGGCTTCGGTAGTGCTAGAGCTGCTAGCCTAGCGGATTCTGAACCAGGTACTGTGGCAGTTTGGATCTTCAGTGAATATTTGGAAGTGGAGTCTAGAGTCTAAGGTAGGTGCAAGTGGGACGTAAGTGGCCACTCCATAGAAGAATTCACATCCGCAGTTGAGTAAGGTGGCATAAGAAGTGGTGTAAACAATCCCTTGGTGTAGAGTGCGTTCAGCACGTGCTTCGCCCTTGTTTGTTATTGGCTTTTCACGCTGTTGAAGTCTTTCCAGATTTTATCGAGACAAGGGGAAAGGAGTTAGAGCTCCCTATAGGGCAAAGATTCTCTTCGCTGATCAAATGGATCCAATGAAACCACGCTGCTTGACAGGCCCCCGGTCGCGCCGTTGCAACCAAATGTGGTGATGAAAATATGACCGAACCATTAAATCTACTTGCTCGAAGCTGGTGTGAAATGGTGATGAAATCGGGACTGTTTCTCCAGGGTTTGTGAAGAACAGCTGCGCAGTTACAATCAAAATGGGCTGACATGCGCATCCTCCGAGAAGGTGGGTGCAATCCCCCAATTGCACCCAGATATGCATACCAGGACTTCTTACTAGCACATCAAATTCAACTTCCAACAAATGTGTGGTTGGAAGAACATCAGGTACAGCAAGCAGCTAAAGCAGCAGTCGCACAAGCGCCGCGTAAGCTTTTGCACACGCAAGGTGTTGGGACACAGGAATCCTTCATGCATTTTTCAGAGACGCTCCACGGTAGGACTTCGGACTTGCAGCTTCTTGTTACTAGTAGTAAGGCCAGGAGCTACTAGTAGCGTCCTTGCTCCTAGTAGTGACGCCCTTTGTTACTTAGTAGCTTCTTTGTTTCTGACAAAGAAGACTAGGGTGGGAACACCACCAAATTCCACGGAGTGACGCTGGCAGGTGCACGCTGGGGAGAGCGAACGAGTGGCGGCAATACTGCAACCAGGTGACTTGCTTTTATTCCTCTACTCCACCAAGCACGCGGCAGTTCCAAATCTCTCCGACCAGGACGATCAAAAGAACAGAACAGCTTTTTGGTGTGCCGTAGGTTTCAGCTTCAGTGGCAATTCCCATCGACCCAGGATCGTTGCCTTTTGTATTCTGTGTATGGCCCGGAGAATGTGCAAGATGAGATCAATTGCTGCGATGGAAGGCCTTCGCTGAAGACCTACAGCAAAGCAGAAGCAGAGATTTTGCTCATGATGGCCAATGCATTGCAGTGACCACCAACCATCGTTTAATGATGGTGTGTACATAGAGACCCTTGGGTGGGACAACTCAATGATTCCAACCTGCACTTGTCAAAGAGAGCAGGGTCCCACGCTTTGGAGAGGATGTGCACCCTTTGGCGCCAAAAAGCTGCGGGTATACAGCAACTATGATACGGCTTCTTCACATGTTTTTTCTTCAGATTGTAAGCATGTGAAGTTCTAAGACTGACACATGCCTCGTAGACGCACATTGGTCTGCCAATTCGATCGGTGGGTTTTTCTCGTTTGCCTCGGGTAGCAGGCACTGCATGGTGTACCGAGAGCGGCCGTGGGGTTGGCTGGTAGGCGCGCACTGTGGACATGGACGGAAATACATTTGCGGTATTGCGTCCACGAAAGACATTTGAAATTGGAACATGTTGGAACATCCACGAAAAACATTGAACACCAATGACTTGCTGAACTGTCGTCGCTTTCCAGTGCACGGTTCAAGCGCAGCAGCGCAAAAAGGGTAGAGTGCTACAGGGTGCCACCTGGAGGTCCGACAAATCGCAGCTTTGTAAGCTGCACTTTTCAAGAGGCCCATCAGCTACCCGTGCGACCAAGTCGCACAACCTGCGTTTGTTCGCTCTTGTCTTGCCTTTTAAGCCGAACTACCTTGGCAACATGGCATCGTGCACATCACCTGCTTTGGTGGACACCAGACAGGTGAAGATCCCCGATTTCTCCAGCATTTGCTTGGATTCGGGGAAAAAAAAACAAGTTCACACCCCTTCGACGGTTTGCCCAACACCTCGCACACCCGTCTCTCCAGCACTATTACCACCGCTCGCCTTGGATCTTCATGAGCAGACCAGCAGCTCTGAAGATGTACAGCCTTTTTGGTGGCCCATGTCTGAGGGTGATGAAGGTGTATTGAGCTCTCCTTTCGATGAGCCGCAGGAGGGGAAACAAGTGGTCAATTTGAGCGGCTTGCCCGCAATTGAAGGTGCATTTGTTCAAACCCGAGCCAGATCCAAGTGTTCCCACGCAGGTTGAAGGGTTTTCGGATGTTTTCTGTGCACCGCGCTCTGAGGCCAAATTTCTCGTTCTCAGAACTCGAAGGCTTTTGGATGTCTTGGCCTTCCGGATTGGGTCTATGGGCCGCGTGGAGCGCGTGACCCCGAGTGGGATGATGACTCAACTTGCACCTTGGTGGATGTGTCTGTGATTGTCTTGATTTTTTGGGAACATATTTTCTTGAACAGTTGGAACAGGTTTCTCACCGAGAGCGCATGATATGATCCATCTACCTTGTGTCACCTGACAAAGGGCCTCTTTGGACTTTGGAATAGGAGGAAGGATGAAGGAGCATGGACTTTAACCTGGACAAACCAAATCTCGCCGTGTCCCGGTCCCCCTGCCTGATGGTCCCTCAGGCTCCGACGACTCTGATGGTCCGTCCTGTCAGACCTCGTCGGACTCGCCGGTTGAAAGCTGCTTTGAGTCTCGAATGCCAGTGGCCATCCGACCCAAAAGTGCCAAAGCTTCCTGGGCTGATCTGGCTGAGGAGGCGCAGGGTGGCAGGGTGTTGTTGGGCAACATGGAAGTGACCAACCAGAAAACCGGGGAAGGATTGGGTCCAGAGTTGATTCAATCCAAATCTATATAGTAGCTGTCAAATGTTTTTCGTACGCAATTTGATGCTTTGGGCCTCTTGGGCACCATCACTGCGAGTCATTGGATCCTTTGCTTACATTACAGCTCGATAGCCAGGAGGAGTTGGAAAACGCCCAGATGGTGCAGCCGAAGCCACCTACAGCAAAACCCAAGGTGAACTGGGCTGATCTCCAAGAGGCCTCGGATGATGATCTGCCATCATGGAAGTGGAACTGAATGTTTGAACCCGTTGAAGAATTCCCAAGCTCATTTCTGTGTTGAACGGATGGATCCCACAGAAGCACGAAATTCACTCATCAACACGTGTTGACTTCGAAATGAACTTGGGGTTCGAACACCGAATCTGTGCCAACGAGACATGTCGACCTCACTTGGTCCACGTGTTCATGGCAGTCTCAGTAAATCGAATCTAGTCGAATGTGATTGAAATTGAAGGTTGAACTCTGAGTCACATTTATCTTGGTTCTGTGACGATGCGATGTCTCATTGGACTTACTATGTGACATGCTTAGTTCATGCTGGGCTCTTTGGGCTTCCGAAAGGCTCCAGGCATGTCCCGTGGAGGACTACCAGGGACTTTTGGGCTCTGAGTCTCAGTGTGGCCGTCACTGGTACCATGAGTCATGATGAGTCATGAGCTCCATTCATTTGGAGACGAGGGGAAAGATTGGAAGGATTTTAATGAGGCAATTCGTGTTCATTGCTCCAAGATTTGCTCTCAGGAATGCACCTTCTTCAGCAAGGGCTGGGTTGCAATCCTGATCGAATCTGCAATGGCTGTTCGATGTTGTTTGTTTGCAACTTCTTCTTGTTTGTTGTGCTACAGATGTTTGTCGTAAAATTCGTAAAAGTGAAGTTTGTGCTGTATACTGGAGTGTTGGAATCTCACACCAGAGGAAATTCGAGCCATGAATAGCACCAGCCTGCCCCTACGTTGGGACAGGCTGGACTATCACACCCAAATTGTAGTTCAAGCTCAGCGTGCAACGGGGAGTGCTTGGGAATGCTCTCTCTATGGGAACTGGGGTTGGGGTTGGCCTCTCAATGGTTGCGTGGCACATGAGCTTTGGGATCCAGAGTGCAGAGTCGTGTACAAAGAGAGTGTCTGTGGCCAACCAAGACAGCATGACCAGATAACAGCGTTGTGATGCCTTGGTTGGCAAAAGCAGTGTGGCATCCAGCATGGGTAGAAACTTGCTGCAGTCTTATTACGCATTCTTAGCCCGCGGGCACTACTTTGAACGATCATTTACGGTGTACGAGTTCAGCTCAGTTCAGGTCAGGTCAGTTTCCATGTTATACTTTTGACACATCACAACTGACCAACACCTTTCTAAGGACTGTTTCTGGCCGGTCAGCATTTGCACAGCACATTATATGGAGAGTCTTTAGACCAGAATGTGTGAATGTAGACGTGTGGCCGCAACAAATGTTGCTCAAGTTCGAAGGGAAGGGCTGCCATGGATGGTCAGCTGTCGGTGGTGACCGTGGTTTCGATCGTGTGCTCTTTTGTTGGGGGGCTGGGAGTTGAGATCACATCTCACTAGGGAACCCCAACAGCCTGTGTGTCATTGCGGCTGCCATTGTACTTGCGAATCGGCATTTTCCTTTGGTACTTTGTGCATTGTCAGTGCATTGCGCATCATTGGAGTTGTTGGTTGCAGTATTTTTGGTGGGCTGTTGATTTCACAGAGATTGGAGGTTTCCAGTGGTTCATCACCTACGAGGGGGGGAGAAAGGAGTGTTCGGGCAAACCGGAAAACTTAGCTTGCAAGGCTAGGTATGCAGCCCGGGCACTTGGCATTGGTGAACTACGGGGAGGTCCCGACAGTTTGGCATGCAAGACTTTTGCTATCAAATGTGTCAGCAAACAATTGGATCATATTGACCCCCGACTTGGACCGGTATGAGGAACAGTTGGACATGCTGAACGGAGACTTCACTGACTTTGAGTTCCTTGGTCCGTCAGGGGCAATCCCAGCCAGGATTCCAGCAGGGACCGTTTACGGTTTTGGAAGGCTTGATCCAGGTGAGTGGCACAACAGATGGCGCAGGCACAGTTGGAGGCAACTTCATGACTCGGGGACTGCCTGCACCAGGGGCTCCTGCTGCTCCAATAGTTCATCCTCCAGCCGCTCCCCCCAGTACCACCCGCTCCTCCTGCTCTACAAGGCGTGTTTGGGGCTGCTGCGCCGGCTGCTCCAGCCCCAGTGGCTCCAATCCCGGCCGGGGCCAGGGCACCAGCTGCAGGAGTTTATGTGTGGGTGGCATGCTGGAGGGCGAAAGCGAGGTGATGATCCACTTCCACCTGGGTGTCTGCAGATGGGAGACAAAGCATTGCTAGCAGATTTGTGTGGAGGACCAACAGGTTGTTTCGCTCAGCACCTGCAAGGGATGCGACGTAGAGAATTCCATGCTGCTGTACCCCTGATGGTTGAGGGTACCCCCATGGGTGGAAGTTTGCAGTTGGAGGGACCTCCAACCGCCCTCAACATTGCGAAGGCCTTCCGGGAGCAGAACATGACACCACCCACATACCATGAGTTTTGGTTGAGGACAGCCGATATTCCACGTGGTGACAGGAGCACCTGTGAACATGAATGCTTGAGCAGGATCTTTGAGGCCATGATTTGTGTTGATCAGCTCAACCCCAGTGGCTTGCAGTCTTGTGAGTTGATTGTTCGTCGAATGCAGGTGATCCGAGAAGCCCACCGCATCAGCCCTAGTGCGCCCGATTATTCAACGGCTGATCACATGATGGGTTGGCGCTACAAGAAGCAAGCTCATGGTATAGATTCAGGCCTGGCTTCATTCGTCGCGACGGAGTTGAAGAATGAGGCTGCAATAGCCAAGGAGTCCAGAAAGGCTCGAGAAGAGCAACAAGTTCGCCGCCGTAACCCAGACAAGAAGGGCGCTGGGGGAGGCGGCGACAAACAGTATTTTCAGCAGGGAGGGCCGCATGGTTGCTATGACTGCTGGACCTATGACTGGTCAAATTTTTGATGAACGAGGCCGGACTTCTCAAGACGGCGGTTCGGGTCGATGGAGGGAGATTTTTCCCGTGCCTCGTGCTTTCGTGCCTGCCCAGACTCCAGGTGCTTCGATCTCTTCACGGAGGCGACGTGCCAAGGTGCGGGAGAGCCACAACAAACTTTTGAGGTATCGTTTCACACGGCTGCGCAATCCAGTTGTCAACATAAGATTTGTCAGAAGGTGGGACGTTTTCCAAAACCATCCAGTTCATCTACAGAGAGCGTGAGGCTGCTCAAGAGCTTCTGCTTTCTAAGTCTTCCTATGATGAGAGCCTGGATGCTAGCACGGTGCGCCCGTATGACCGAGACCTCGTGCCCTTG